CAACAGTTTGAACAGACGCTAAGATGTGATCTTAGCTGATGCATGGTAAATCCTGACTAATAAATAAAAATTGGATATGTATCAACACTTAGTCATACTTGGTCAAATTTCCCGATTGTCTACGTCTTCTAATGGAGAGAATAACAAATTTTTTATGACTGTTCACCCACACACACATACACACACACCAGTGTATACTGCATATACACATATATTTTAACAAAAGTAGACTAATTTTCAAAGTCTGAAGTCAAATTTTGATCACAGTTCATAAAATTTTGTTTATTATACTTGTTAATACTTGTGTTTATGAATCATGATTGGACAAAGCTTTTAAAAACAAAAGATGTGCCTTTTATATATAAAACCTCTGCTATGTTAATTTCGATTAATTTCCCTGAAGAAGTTCAGACCACCAGATTGCCGAACGCAGGAAACGTTGGAATTAATCATTTCAATTTCGCTGAGATTTTACAAATATAATTTTTTTACAAATGTCTGCTTCTCACTCGGTGCTCAATTATTTTGCAACTATCCGGTCAAATCTTGATCACAGTTCATATGAATTACTGGCTAATAGTGAAGTCAGTAAGTAAATTAACACAGTGTCTCCTGACCGAAATATGGGACTTCAGCGCGGCACATCTGCATTTCACTCCGTTCTCTGCAGTCTTTCTCAGCTGGCTCCACGATCACCCATAACCTATCAGCTATATCTCCCCAGACGGTCTCCTGTATGGCATTTTCAGACTCAAGCCCAACTCGTCTTTTCCTAGTAAGGTCCCATTCGAGGAATTAATTGGCGCGTAAGGTCACTGAACTGTCCAATCCGTTAGGTGGAGAGATACAAAGAGAGATGAGTCACTGAAGATTTGTTTATTGATTCAAAACTGCACACAACACGTGCAGTCGTAATGTGGAACAACTCATCGCCTATACTGGAGATAAGGAAATTGGCAACAAACAACAAGTGGAATAGGGAGAAAGAGAGAAAATATACAGAAGACAAATGTACCACCAATGTACCACTTATGGAGACTATGGAATTCATATGCCAACAGATACTAGAAAAACACAGTTCGACATCGGAATTCCAGTTTGAAAGAGTTGCTTTTCAGATGTACTATGAATGTACACAAGAACATGGACAAGAACAACAACAACAGACAACGATCAGCATAAATGGGAGGAACCTGAAAGAAACAACCTCCTTTACCCACCTACCTATTTGGGAAGCATCGTTTCAGCTACAGGCCGAAATGAAGAGGATATCAGAGCAAGAATCGGAAAAGCAAGACAAGCCTTCACCACTCTCAAGTCTGTGTGGAGGTCAACAGCACTCAGCATCAAAAATAAGATCCGGATTTTCAACTCCAATGTGAAGTCAGTCAGTGCTACTATACGGATCAGAGACTTGCACTGCGCGTCATAAAGAGCACCTCAGACAAACAACTGACCTTCATTAACAGTTGTCTTCGCTCAATACTACTCAAGATCAGATGGCTGGCCAGAAAAGATCAGCAACAGAGATCTCTGGCAATGAGCGAGCCAACACAGCAGGAACCGATTGTGAAACAAGTCGGCTGGGAGAAATGCAGATGGATTGGCTGGCCATACTCTGAGAAAACAAACCATCAAGTGACATCACTAGACAAGCCATTGCTCGAGTGGAACCCAGCCGAAAGGGAAGCGGCGAGTTGGTCGTCAGTGCGAGGGTGACTTGGAGGAGGTCATGTGAAGAGGAGATGAAAAACGTGTGGGCAAACTTGGAGCCAGGTGAAGACTATAGCAGAGAACCGAACGCAATGGAGACGCACGGCTGAAGCCCTATGTTCCTCTAGGAATTAAAGGAAACAATAATAATGAATGTACACTTCACATTCAACAACTTTTATCTAGTACAGACAAATCGACGGTATTGCCATGGGTGGTTCTCCATTGGGTCCAATTTAGACAGATTTCTTTCTTGCTTAGCTTGTAAATGATCCTTTGAAACGAGAAATAGATAAAAGTGATTCTTATTTTCGTTATGTTCATGATACGTTTATTATTATTATTCTTGATGTGAAAGCTGACAAGAATGAAATGTTAATAAAATTTAATGATAGACATCCGTCGTTCATCTTCACTTGTGAAGAAGAACATGATGGTAGACTACACTTCCTTGATGTCCAGTTGAGCAGAAGAGAAAGGAAGGTTTACTCAAGAGGGATGTCCATAGAAAAGCTACATCTGTAGGACACTATACACATTTCCTCAGTTTTGTACCAATCCGATATAAAATCAGTTTGGTCAGATGCCTCACGAATAAAGCAAGACGTATCTGTACAGATGACTCCCTAGAAAATGAGTTAAGATACATCCAAAATACGCTGGTCCAAATGGGTTATCCTAGTATATTTGTAAGGAGACACATGAACACCAGGTATAATAAAGAGAAACTGACAACAGTTAAAAAGAAACAACTGTTCATGAAATTGCAATTTAATGGGGACGTGGCTAGTGAAGTCTTACATTTGAGATTATCGAGAGCAATAAAACGGACTTATACTGCCGCCACCCTTTGTTTGTCACTTTCTAGGCAACCAGTTATGATTGCTCAAGTGAAAGACAAGCTACCTAGCTGTGCCACTTCTATGTGTATCTACAAATTTAGTTGCTCCTGTGGAGACAGCTATATAGGGTGAACAACTAGACAGCTTAACAAGCGCATTACTGAGCATCTTCCTTCATGGTTCGGAAAGGGCCAAATAAAATCTATGAGAAGTTCTATTTTGGCTCATTTGATTGATGATAGCGGTCACCAAGTGAACAGGAAAAGTAGTGCCTTCAAAGTTATCTATCGCATTCCACCGAGCCTTTCGAACGGAATTCGAACCCGCCTTTTACACATAGCCGAAGCTATGGGAGTTAATTCGAGAGAACAATCCTAGTCTTTACGTACACAAAAGAAGTTTGTTCTACCTTTGTCTCTCCCTTGCTTGCCTAGGTGAATTCTAATCAAAACCCTCCCAACCTTTCTTATTTTCCATTTCCTTCGTACTTTTATGATATTTATCTGTTTGAACTCTGATTATCTGTCCACTTCACCTTTAGTATTACGTAACTTTTAAGATTTGACCTAATTTATTTATTGAATTGTCTACTGTGTATTTACCCTTTTCGAACCTTGTCAACGGCCGAACGCCATCGGTCATCCGGGAAAGGAGTAAGAGTGCGCCGTCGCGAGTCACTCCAGAGCGAACTCCCTGAGACGGGTCTTCATCAATTTTCTAATATTTACATCTCGGGACACCGTTGGTGCCAACCCTCCAGCTTTTAGGAACAGGAACATCCTCTCAAGGACACATGCGCATTGGAGCCAACCAAACCTTGACTCATGGCACAAGATCCCAACCTACAAGCCACAGCCCACAGCATAAGACACTGCTCGAGACTGGCCTCGGCTAACAACTACACCAAGCTGCGCCTCGTGGTTTGGGTTACCAGCTCTAACAGCCATCCACTAGGCAGTTTTTATTGGCCCTGGTCCTCTCATCAAGAATCCCGCATATGTACTGGTCCCACCGATGCCTCGCTCACCACCATAAAGGCCAAAGGACGGCACCGCCGCTTCATCAAGAGTGAGTAACCAGACGTGAATGCTGTCTCATACAAGCCACAGGTCTTTGCTGGAGCTCGGTTTTCTCGCCAGTAAGCCCCACCCAGCCGTCGCCACGCGGAGGCGCCTGCCGTATATATAACCATAACCCTCGTCCCGCCAATTCCTATGCCCGGTTGAGTTTCTTCACGTTGACACTCAGAGCACTGGACGGAACTGCGTAACCAAATGTAGACTTAACAAGAGAAGCCAATATTGGAAAGCCCACGATGGTCTAAGGATGTCGGTCCTCGCACCGCATGCAGGGCTCCCTTGCAAAGCCTCTCATTAGGTGACGAGGCATTTGGCTACCTTAAGAAAGTCATAGTTACTCCAACTTATTTATTGAATTGTCTACATTTACACGCGTATTGCCATCTTTGTTATTCATATCGACACCTGCATAAACCTTATTGTCATCCAGCTAATAATACTGTATCCCTGACTGTATGATATTTAAAAATAAACGTATCTAGTTATGGAATTACATTCTACTACCATAGTACTGCTCAAGTTCCACACTGACATTAAAGATAAATTAAAATTCAATAACAGAAAAGACAAATAATAGAGAAGATTTGTAGCTCAGGTGGATGATTTGCAATTAATAGTGTTCTCTGAGCTGGTTGGTTTAGTTGAGGAGCTTTCGTCGTCTCCCTTCTGGACAACATCTTCAGCGCCATATTTAGCACAAAGTGAAATGATTTAAATTTCTTCATGAGTGGTATAGTTGCGTCTCCTGGTAACTATCTTTACATATGTATTGACCATTTTCTATTGACTTGGATTTTAAACTTTCTGGTCCCCTGATTTACTTTTTATTAGTTGGTATATTTCGTCTATATTAACGTGCTTGTTAATTGCATTTTCGCTTGAGTACCGGGCTTCTAGGAATTCTCTGGCACTTTTCGTGTTTCCTCTGTCTAAGATTTTGACATGATCCCAATCAAATTGATGACCATAATTGCCTGTATGCATTGATACTAAAGAATACATATCATGTCTTTTCACGGCTGATTTGTGTTCTTGGATTCTGATTCGAAGGGGACGCCCACTTTGGTCGATGTAATGTCTGTTACAGTTCATACAATTTATTTTGTAAATGGTTTTAATTTTATCCCCTTTTTCTGTTGGATCTTTCGGTTTGCATAATATCGAATTAAGCGATTTTACTGGTTTGTGTGCTATCTCTATATCTAACGGTTTCATTATTCTAGCTGTTATTTCAGAGATATTCCTCATGTACGGTAGAATGAATTTTCTTGTGGTCTTTGATAGTGGTTTCTTGTTGGTGTTATTATTCGATTTTAAACACTTTTTGATGAAATTTTGTGGATAACCATTCTTTTTGAAGACAAAACAATTTGAAAATTTTTATAATAAAAAAAAGAATAATTTTGTACAAAAATCGTTTGTTTGTTTGCTTGCTTGCTTGATTTTTGTATGACTACAGCTCAGAGCTAAGCTAATGAAAGCTGAAATACACAGTCAATCAGCATATGTGAAACAATCTCACAGTTGTCATCACACTTGGGGCGCGGAGTGGGGGTGGGTGACGTGGAGGTATCAAAAACAGAGCAATCAGAAATAGGTTTTTAAAATATGTCTATACAAATATGTAGATATCTTCAACAAGTACATGGTAGATAGATACAGAATTGACTTTTGTCCCCTGAATCCAGCTATCCAAAACTCTTCGTCAGGAACTGATTACATATTAGCTACGAATCTTTTCATTAGGCATTGCAGAAACCTGTAATTAACAAAAAAATAAAACAAAAAGACAAAAAGTACACACTTACTTATTTATATAGTATGAAATGAGACAGAAATTTTATATATGCGAAATAAACTGCCAAAATCATCGAAGCACCGCATGCTGCAAACAGCATAGGCTATCGCAATTCGCCTCAAACAACCAGTGCTCTGTGTTCACAAGAAGAAGCAAGTCCAGCTAGCCCTGGCCAGCCTTCAGTAGAGACTAAAAATTCATGAATTTGTAATATGATTATCTTTCCTAATTTTTCTGACATTCAGCTTATTTTATGTTGATGCGATTCAGCTGTAATCTATCAATATTATTGATTCGATGTTATTTAAACAGCATTAATGTTCGTATTAGATGGATGGAGGCAATCGGCAGGAAGCGTTGGACCTAGGCTTCGTGCTAGTTGGCACTCATCAGCAAGGCGTATTTGCAGCCTTGAATGAACTCATGTCTCTTCTGAGATTCGAACCCGCATCACCCAGTGCTGCAGTCAGTCTGCAGCGAAGATAGGACTAGACGCATTACACTAGTTACTGACTAGTGTACAATCAAAAATATCCTATACTGTCCTACAGGAGGTCAATCGCGAGCCTGAATAGCTCAGTGGTAAGTCATGTGAAGAGGAAATGAAAGCATGTGGGCAGACTTGGAGCCAGGTGAAGACTCTAGTTGAGAACCAAACGCAATGGAGACGCACGGCTGAAACCCTATGTTCCTCTAGGAATTAAAGGAAACAATAATAATAATTTTTCTGACATTCAGTTTATTTTATATTGATGCTATTGAGTTGTAATTTATCAATATTATTGATTCGATGTTATTTAAACAGCAATATTAATGTTGTTCATAACACTAATTCATTCATTCACTATAATGTATACATAACTGTAGAGCCTGATAACGAAGTTATCAGAAAGAGTACTGTCTGTTCAGTATCCATTCTTTTGAAAAATATGTTGCATTGTATGTAACATTTGACAAATAGTCTACACTGAAATTCACAATATTCGTGTTGACTTAAATTTTATGAAAAATTAGTTATGCAGCCTATGCAACACTGCATAGCTACACTTATTATTATTATTGTGACCCCCATTGGGTTCCAAGTGAAACATAGACTATCTTTCCTTTCACCTTGTCCTCTGCAGTCTTTTCGACCTTACTCCAAGGTTACGCATAGGTTCTCATTGCCTTCTTCAGAAACTATCTGACTGACTAACTGAGTGGTTTCAACGTAAAACTACTTTGCACAGATGTGCAGTAGTTCCAGTTGCCATACTCCATGTTCATGTAGCGCACAAAGCAAAAGAGAAGAGATTAGGTAAAGAGAGACTCAAGAGACTGTTAATAGACAGTAGTGTGACTAAGGGAAAAAGAATAGTAATACGGAAGAACAATAGAATTTCATTGGACTACTCCTACAGTTTTTTTTTGCAAAACGCTTCTAACGTTGAAAGATCAGTTAATTTGTGTTGTTATAAAATTCTGTAGCTTCACCACTATTTGTGGGTCTCAGAAGTGGTGCAATTGAGATGGTTGGAGGTAATCGGCCACAAGAAGCCCTACCTGGCCTAGATTTTTTGCTTCTTGGTACTCACCAGTCGTCAGAAAGGTGTATCTGCAACCGTAAAGAAAATTCATGATGACACTTCTGAGATTTGAACCCGTGTCACACAACCAGTGCTTCAGTGAGAGATGTTACCACTGTGCTATCCTGGCTGATGACTGTTTTGGATGCTTTGAATGGACACAAGCGAGTAACTGTTTTCGCTATTCGACAGTAAACGCCTATGAATGAACTCAATGAATCTATGTACACAAATGGTGGAGCTACTATCCTCGCTGTTGCTCTATTCTGGACAATAATTACTTTGGCATCATGGATAATAAAGAATTTATTAATTTGGGTAATTTATTGATTTTCAGTGAACTGGTTTCTTTCCAATGGTTGGAAGCAGTCAGCAGGAAGCCTTGTGCCTAGATTTCATGAATGATGGCCACATCACGAACTCAACGGATAGAATTCGGTCTGTATCAAATAAAGGACTAGACATATTACACTAGTTAGTAACTGGTGTCCAGTTCAACTATACAATACAGTCCTACAGAATGTCATTGACTGCGGCACTGGGCGACACGGGTTCGAGGTCTCAGAATGGACATGAGTTCCTTCAAGGCAGTTACAGATACGCCCTGCTGACACGTGCCAACAATCGCGAAACCTGGGTAGCTTCAAGGCTCCCTACCGATTGTCTCCAACCGTCTAATATCAATAATTCACAATGCACCCATGATGGCCAGCCACTTAGTGGTATAGTGTGATCACATTGTAAACTTGACTGATAGAATCCAGCCTATACCAACACACTCCTAACACTAGGTACATATTACTACACTACTTACTAACCAGTATCCGGCCAAAAAGGTGTACATTTTAAATCACCTAGTACTGGAATGAACTTGTTTGTTAAACTGCAATTTGAAGAAAAACCACCTAATTTCATTAAATTTATTTTGTATTATTTCTCATATATCGATCGTTTTTCTTCATTTTCTTGTCTCATTTATTGCAGACTGAATAATAAATTCTACTAATACTCATCATAGATGAGGGTAGTGGTCACATGACCAGCATAAATAACTAGCCAGCTCACTGACTAACTAACTAACTTACAACACTTAATAAATCAATATGTGAGTATAGAGTTATGTGCTCAACAAATTGGAAGTGAATGAAATTTGAAATGTGATAATTAAGGGTGCAGTTTATTCTTTATCGATAAGTAATACTCAACGGCACATGTCAAGTGATCCACAACGGAAAACTCAGCGAGGCGTTTGCAGTGAACACAGGAGTCAGACAAGGGTGCTTATTATCACCAATGATATTCCTAATTGTGGTAGACTGGATTATGCGTCGTCAGACAGTGAGAAACGAGAAGACAGGGATATCCTGGACCAATGTGAACAACCTAGAAGACCTGGATTTCGCTCATGGATGATTAATGTTTTATGTCACACAAAATCGACGACTTAAAAGCCGAAACCAACAAAATGGTCGAAGAAGCAGCAAAGACAGGACTCCAGGTGATCATAGACAAGACGGAGGTTATGAAAATAACCAAACAACAACAACAGCAGCAACATCCAGTGCCAATCACCATCAACGGAAGGGATTTGAAAGAGGTTACTTCATTCACTTCACTTATCTAGGGAGCATTGTCTCAACTACGAAAGGAGGAACGGACGAGGATGTCAAATCGAGGATCGGGAAGGTGAGAAACACATTCATCAACCTGAAACCAATCTGGAAATCTTCGTCACTCACCATCAACAACAAAATTCGGATTTTCAATACAAACATCAAGTCAGTCAGTTCTTCTATACATACGGATCAGAAACTTGGCGGCGGGTCACAAAGAATATTTCCAACAGCCTGTTGCAGACCTTTATCAACAACTGTTTTCGCTCTATACTGAAGATCAGATGGCCTGAAAGAATCACCAACAAGAAACTATGGGAACAAACAAAACAAGAAACAATCGGTCAAAAAATATGCAGGAGAAAGTGGAGATGGATTGGACACTCGCTGATGAGGCCGTTGGGTGACATCGCGCGTCAGGCCATTGCTCTAGTGGAACCCGAAAGGGAAGCGGCGAGTGGGACGTCCAAGGGTGACATGGAGGAGATTGTGTGAAGAGGAGGTGAAACAGTATGGACTAACATGGATGCAGGTGAAAAGTACAGCAGAAGACAGAAGCAAGTGGAGACGTGCAGTTGAAGCCCTATGTTCCACTAGGAACCCAAGGGAACAATAAATATAAATAAACATAATAATACTCATTTGAACCACAGGTTTATAGGTATTATAGACCAACAAAGGAGACGCGTACAACTGTTGCAGGAAGAAAGATGAGACATGACAATGAATGACTCTCAACGGACACCTACCTGGAGGGTAATCGAGGAAAGGAGAGGAGGATGGTGAAAGAGAAGATGACTACTCAATGCAAAGATAGGCAACAGAAGGAGCAACTGAGTCCACTGTACACTGCACTGAATAAAGAAGTGAAGAAGAATAAGAGTGGTAGGAAAGACAAAAGACAATTCAATGACACACTCGCTGACAACTGAAGCAGAGCAGGCAGGACGCAGGTAAAAGAAACCTAAGGACATTATATCAGATAACCAGGTCACTATCCCAGAAGAGATCAACCCAGATGAAGAAACTAATAAAAGATGTTCAAGGGAAGCTGATTACCAAGGAGGGGAAACGAATAAAAAAATGGGGTGGTCACTTTAAAGGACTCGAATCGACTATCACCTACAACTCCTCCAGAAATACCACCACTGACAGCATCCACAAAATTGTCTGTCAGTCGACACCAATCCTGCAAAGAAAGCAGAAATCTTGAATGCAGTCAAGCTACTGAATTCAGGCCGGGAATGCAACAGGACCAGACGGAATTCCCCTACCCCAAAGCACTGAAAACGGACCCAGAGACTGCGGCAAATGTCCTCACGCCATTACTGCAAAATGTTTGGAATGAAAGAAAGGTACTTACCGACTGAAGGAAAGGCTACCTCGTCAAAGGGCCAAAGAAGGGCGACTCTGCAAGAACATGCGTGGAATAATGCTCTTGTTGACGTCAAGTGAAATCCTCAGTCGCGTCATCTTGGAGAGAATAGACGATGCACTGGATGCAGAACTCCGCCCAACGGAACAAAGTGGATTCAGGAAACCACAGAGAGTACTTGAAAGATATTTCGTCCAACTTCACGACTCTCAAGCAGTATGTACTCACAATTGGTCAAGTTGGTTGTGAGATCAGGTGTTTGTCAAACAGCAGTGGAGCTACAACATTATGAATTAGTATAAGTTGCTGGAATTCATAAGTTTTTGGATTCTATCCCAGTATGGTTGGAAGATCAACGAGCTCACCTCATGACTTGAAGCTTCTGGACTCAATCCACAATGGAGTCATGGGTGATTACTGATGAGGAGTATCGAATAACGGAAAAACAGCTGTCCAGTAATCCTTGTTTCTCAGTGGTTCTATAACTGATGTCAATTCATGGGCTAATTTGTATCACTAAGCTACCTGAATTTCAATTCGCCACTATTGGCACCATCATATTTTTTGTAATTCTTTGATTTGCCAAATATACTCCACTGCATATTTCTTGATTAGCTTTCAGTCTGCTGGTTCGCATTTCTTGGTGACGAAGGAGATAAATATCGTAAGGGGTTAGTTTACACTTTAAGTTGAACGTCATTACGTCACATGATATATCACGATAATTCCATATTGGTTTGTTTATTAGATGTATCACACAGTCACTGAAACAGTATTTTTATTTACTGGATGACGTTTCGAACAAAATTTATTGTTCATAATCATCTCATCCATCATAATCACACGACTTCGAAACTTCAGTTTTATAGTTTTCTTTGTTTTCTCCTATTTGTCGTACGGGTAGTAGGATTTTCCAAATATCTGGGACAGGTGATGAATTATTCCTATTACATGTATTTGCAGTTAGGTCGATAAACACAGCTTCCGTTATGAATCTCTCCCTATACCCTGTGACATTAGACTTTAAAACTGTCATCCTATCCCATCCTATGCTGCATGGTTGTGTGTAACTGCATGTAGCGAGTGCTATAGCTGAACTATTCTCTAGATTTCTTATCTTATTCGGGTCAACCAATCTAGATTTTGCTAGGTTTTTATGTTCGGCTAGTCTGACTGCACCTGTTCTACTCCTGTCTCAGATTTTCGTTGGTACTACTTAGTTTTTGTGCTCTGTTAAACACTAATGTTTACAGGAAACCCACACACTCAAACAGATATTTGGACTTCCGATCATCCAATCCTATGCCAGTAAAAATAGGATTGGTGAAATGCTTAAATGACAGACCACAAAAACTTACTACCACAGTGCCCAAGTTTAACACATATATTTATATCATGATAAGTTGTTATTTTACTAGTTTGGAGATTTCGGATGAAGAGAAAACTATCAAGTGAGATCAATCACACGCTGGGAATTCTGTACATTGCGTAACTATTTTGTCTAGAATAAACTGTAGGCAGATGGTAAAATGGTTTCAGGCAATTAGTGTTTCCTTTATGAATTTCGGCAACAACACAATATAAGTAAACGAAGTTTATCTGAATGAAACGTACAATGCAATGTGTATTTGCACAACACATTGCCAACATTCTGATCACACACACACACATACACACATGAGTACTTGTCATACGCAGTTATATTGAAGCCAAGAAAGCATGAATCATTACAATATAGGTCAGACTGTGTACAAGTCAAGGTCACAAATGATAGGTAGGGAGATAACGCAATGGTGTGTGGTAAGAAAGAAAGAAGAAAACGAAAACAAAAAGAAGCGGTTGAAAATATTATGAAGTAAATTGAGTCTTGGTTATAAACTGGATTACTAAGGCAGGTTTAAAGTAATAACAAATAACTTTTCAACTCTTAAGACAGATTCGAGCCTTCTTATGCCCAAAAGTTTCAACGAATTTAAGTATGTGACCCAACCTTCTTTTATATATGGGTTTAATGGCATTATGGGAATCAACCTTATGATCCACCTCTATAATGTGCTTCTCTATAGATGATTTTGGACATCTATTTCCAGGATCCATTGTATCCGGCGATTTTATTTGTTGTCGCAACCACTTTGGGATATGTGCTGTCGTTCTAACCGTCAGAGACTGAGGGATGCTCCCTATGTACGTGTGTCCACACATACATGTAAATTGATGAACACAATGAGATGTTTCACTATGGTTTGGATACTATACAGCTAAACTTATCTTCAAAGCGTAAACGAGATATATTCTACCCTGTAAACCCTCACAGCATCCGGACGACAGTGTCATATCCCACTATGTTTATCAATTTGCAGAGGTAATTACAAGTAGAGACTAAGTAGAAGTAAGGTAGAGAAAAATTCCATTTAAATTGGAACTGAAATTGAGCAAATAAGTTCGATGATGTAACATAAATGACTAGAAATTGGGCGTTATTCAAGTCAGTAACAGTGGTAGTGAGGTGTAGAAATTAAATCGGGTGGGGGTAGAGAACAGGATGGTTGAAAATGTAAAATATTACAATTGAGAAGACAAAATAATACTAATGAAGAGACAGAAAAAAATGATTAGGTAGAATTTACTTGTCAGCTAATAAGATAGATTATATCCATTGCAAGTGTAGTGATTGAACGAACTTCTTCTGTATGCAGAGTTCAGGACTTATCAAGTGAATCGCCATTGCTTCTGCAGTTTGAAGAAGTCTGATTCGTACACCTTTAGGAAGACTACTTCGTATTCTGTAGAAGACTTTGAAGTTTGTTTGGGGTGTAGCTTGGTGTCCGGAATCTATCAGATGTTCTAAGATAGAGCTGCGGGAACATCGCTTTTCTTCTTTGGTAAGTGTTCGGTGATACGTTTGGAAAGCGAAAGCTGGGTACGGCCGACATACCTGGCTCCACAAGAGCAGGTGAATTGATAAATACACATTGATGAGGCCAGCAGTGGTAGCTTATCCTTCACGTTCACATGAATCATAGGTTTTGTGGAGAAGGTTAGTCGTAGTTCAGCTGCGAAGAATGTTTTCTTATGTGAGCGCGACAGTCGATTTTTTAGTGTTTCCGCAGATAGATCTCCATTGAATTGAAGGCTCATGTAGAGTAGTTTTTTCGGGACGCTAAGCATGGGCGGCTCTTGTGGTCTAGGATTCATAGATTTTGTAATAAATCATTCTGGATAACAATTCTCGACGAGGATTCTCTTGAGATTGTCCAGTTCATCTTCTATGGTGTCCGAGGTGCAAATTCTGCGAACTCTGTAGCTGAGTGAACAGACTAGGTTTCGTTTAGTGTATAGAGGTACCCAAATGTGAAAGTTAGTAAGCTGTCCGTTCCACGTCGACTTTCTGTAGATAGATCTTCTCAGTGTTCCATCCTTTTCTCGTCTTGTTAGTTGGACGTCAAGAAAGGATATTTTGGAGTTGAACTCTTTCTCCAGCGTGTACTGAATCGCGGTGTGGCAGTTGTTAAACGACTTCAGGATGTCATCTAGATTTTCTTCGTTGTTGATGATAATGAAAGTGTCATCGACGTATCTCTCATAGATTTCGAAGGTATTGATCATTTTCTTCAGGTATATGTTTTCGAGTTTTTCCATGAAGAAATCTGCAAGCAATGGGCCTAGTGGTGAGCCCATAGCTATACCATCCTTTTGGCGATATATTTCGTTGTTAAAAGAGAATTGAACATTCAGTTTACACCTCAGTAGGAGTTCTTTAAGACGCTCGGTGGGTATACTGATGTTTCGTTTCCTTCTTTCTTTCTTACCTCACACCATTGCGTCATCTCCCCGTTCATTATTTGTGACCTTGACCTGTATACAGTCTGACCTGTATTGTAATGATTCATGCCTTCTTGCCTTTTATACAACTGAGTATGACAAGTACTCGTGTGTGTGTGTGTGTGTGCGTGTGTGTGATCGGACTGTTCGAAATGTGTTGCGCGAATACATACTACATTACATGTTTCATTCAGATAAACTACGTTTGCTTATATTGTTTTGTCGAGATGATAAAATAGCAAAATAAGCACAAAAGTAACATATAATACATATTACTTACCTGACTTTCTAACATACGTTTACGTAATTCCGTATACTCAACATACTCTTTAATACGAAATAATGTAGCGAGAAGGCAAGCTGAGGTGATACCGATTGGAAAGGATATCGCCAATAGAATTAGTCCAGTTACTGCAAGCCAGCTATTTAAAAAAACACCAATAAGAAAAAAAGATTAGATTTCATGCATTTATTCCCCTTGATGAATTTGAATAAAGCAAGCACAACAGTGGTTTGTGCAGAATAATATGGTACCATCATTTGTTTCGTTGGCCTCTCATCAGCTGCCTTCAGCCTAAATAAATTATGAGGTTTGCATACAGAAAGGTTTTAACATACTTGCGAATCTTACATGTTGTCAGTTGACAAAAAGTTCCACAATAAGTGAACAGTACTCAGAAAATTGCGCTTATGTAGTTTTTACACAGGCAATTCAAGTTTAAACAAAATAAATGTATGCATACAATGGTAAAAGAGTTGTGTGATAAAGAAAAAATATGCGTTAGATACAGCGTAACCAATAAATTAGGTAGCAATGTATTGAGTTCAACTCAAATCAAAGAAACAAGAGACAAGCAAAATTACAGATTATAAAAAAGGGTGAGGTTAAAGACAAAGATTACGTAATCAAAATGTAAGAGAGAATAAAGAAATTCAGTTACCAGGGCAAGGATAGACTAATAACTGCTTCTTTCTGAACACACAAATCTGGTTTCAAGCGTTTGATAGAAATTGCTTCGGCAAACCTGAGGAGAATCGAGCTACTTTGTCTATTGATAATTTTAAAGGATTTCTCGATTTCTACTTCATGACCCGTATCGAGAAGATGTCTAGCAATAGCGCTACTATAAGAGTTTGTTCCCTTGAGACGTAGGCTTTTTGGCACATGTTCAGAAAATCGTAGATATGCTCTTCTTTCTGTTCTCCCAATGTAACTGCTCCCGTAGATACACGTAAATTTGTACACACAGTTGGAGTTAACATGAGAAGGGTATCTATCGACTTTTGATTGCACCAACGATTTGAAAGATTAGCAATGCCAAGATAGTAAAAGTGTTCAACTGATAGATACTCGAGAATAGAACTGTTAATATTCGTCAGAATATTGCGGTGGACTGGATTATGCGTCGTCAGACAGTGGGAAACGAGAAGACAGGGATATCCTAGACTGACGTGAAGAATCTAGAAGACCTGAACTTCGAGGATGATTTATGTTTGATGTCACACAAGATCGAAGACTTACAAGCGAAAACCGACAAACCGGTTGAAGAAGCAGCAAAGACAGGACATAGACAAGATTTAGGTTATGAAAATAACCAACCGACTACAGCAACAACAACAGCAACATCCAGCGACAATCACCATCAACGGAAGGGATTTGAAAGAGCTCACTTCATTCACTTCACTTATCTAGGGAGCATTGTCTCAACTACACGAGGAACGGACGAGGATGTCAAATCGAGAATCGGGAAGGCGAGAAACACATTCATCAACCTGAAACCAATCTGGAAATCTTCGTCACTCAACTCAGCATCAACAACAAAATTCGGATTTTCAATACAAACGTCAAGTCAGTCAGTTCTTCTATACGTACGGATCAGAAACTTGGTGGGTCACCAAGAATATTTCCAACAGCCTGTTGCAGACCTTTATCAACAACTGTCTTCGTTGTATACTCAAGATCAGATGGCCGGAAAGAATCACCAGCAAGAAACTATGGGAACAAACAAAACAAGAACCAATCGCCCAACAAATATGCAGGAGAAAGTGGAGATGGATTGGACACTCGCTGAGGAGGCCGCTGGGTGACATCGCGCGTCAGGCCATCGCTCGAGTGGAACCCGAAAGTGAAGCGGCGAGTGGACTTCCAAGGGTGACATGAAGATCGTGTGAAGAGGAGTTGAAACAGTATGGACTAATATGGATGCAGGTGAAAAGTACAACAGAAGACAGAAGCAGGGGGAGACGTGCAGTTGAAGCTCTATGTTCCACTAGGAACCCAAGGGAACAATAATATAATGATAATAAAATCACAGTGGGTCCTTTACTGGCAGACTGCTTCAATGAAAGCCTAGAGAAATGATATATTACGACCCACTAACGATAATATTCATGTGTACCAAAGAAATATGGATGATACTTTTATCATATGTGATGAGAATTCTAACATTGAAATGATAACTAAGGAGTTTCGACAACTACCACTGTGCGATCCATTTCACGTGGCAATCAGAAATGAACTCGGAATTCCATTTTTTTCGGTTATTTTGCTTTGAAGGAGATCTAATGGTTCTCTTTAGAGATCAAACTACATGAAACCAACTAGGAATAGTCAATATATCGATTTTCATAGTTGGATCCCTTTGAGAAGAAAGAGAAATCTGATCCACTCCTTATCTACAAGAATAAGAAGGATATGTAGCAGTGATACAATCGATGATGAGCTGGAGAGGTTCAGACAAGCCCTCATGGAAAATAGATATCCTTCAAGATTCATTGAGAAAAACATGAAAGTAAAGTAAAACCGCAAAAGAACCCAAAGGGTACAGAGGAAACTGCTGTTTATGAACACTGAATTTAGACGTAATATTGTAGCTGAGATTCTGAAAAACCTTTGATTGGACACTAGTAACTAGTGTGATGTGTCTAGCTAGTCCTTTCTTTGGTGCAGACTGAATTCTATCAGTCAGGTATGCAATGTGGCCACCATTCTAGGTAGCTCACTATCATGATGCACTGTGATTTGATGATATTAGATGCTTGGAGGCAGTCGGTAAGATGGGTAGAATTCAGTCTGCAGCAAAGATAGGACTAGACACATTACACTAGTTACTGATTAGTGTCCAATCAAAAATATCCAATATAGTCCTACAGGAGGTCAATCGCGAGGACGAATAGCTAGCTTAGTGCTAACGTCTCTGACTCACTGCAGCACTGGGTGTGTGACGCGGGTTCAAATCTCAGATGGGACATCATGAGTTGCTTCAAGGTTGCAGATACGCCTTGCTGACTGACTGATGAGTGGGAGCTAGCACGAACCTGTGTCAGGTAGGGCTTCCTGCAGCCGACCGCCTCCAACCATTTAATATTCTGAAGAACCGTTTATCCAGATCACTGAGAAAAGCCGTTTTTGCGGCTGAGCTACGGATCAATTTCTACAGCCGACAAATGATCAATAGGTGTTTGAAGGATGAACTACCGCTTTGAGCCACTTCAGTGTGTATTGATAAATTCACTTTGTCCTGTGGAGCTAGTCATATTGACCGCACGCATCTCTGAATATTATCTGGCATGGTTAGCAAAAGGAAAATGCAAGACAGTTACTAGCTCAGTTCTCGAGTACTTAGTGAACTCAGGCCACTCAGCTCCACCACAGTCGTCTTTCAAGATTATCTACAGAGTGACGCCAAATGGTAGAAAAGGGCGTCAGGTTTCGGCATTTGTGTATGGCGGAGGTGTTGGCAATTCGTCAATACAACCCCGAAATCTGTATACAGAAAATGTTTGTCCAGTCTCTTATTCTACCTTGGTCTTAACCTCTTCATTAGTCGTTCCCTGCAAAATTTTTATTTTTAATGATTATTTTGCTTCGAATTCAATGATCAATTCACTGTTATCACTCTCACATGTTTCTCTTGTACATTTTCTCACCCTCTTTACACTTTTTAAATGGACACTCAAATTTCTAACCCTTTCTTCCTTTGTTCTGTTGACTATTACGTAATCTTTAATTTTACTTTTGAAGCCACTTCTGAGTATTTATATCAATTATGTCAACCCTACTCCTTATTACTCAATAATAGACTACTATATTTTTCTGGTAAATATAAATACGACTGTACACCCTCTGAAGACGATTTCGTCGATAAAGAAAGCTTCCTCCCCTGAATTGTCTTTTATTTTCTTTGTGACTCAGTGGGCATTTTCGGTGAATATTGAATAATCAAAAAGTGGGTTGGATAAAACTCACAACTTAATAAACAGCGTTTTCAACGACATCAAGTTCACACGAAAAGAGGAATCCGAGAACAAAACCCCATGTTTGGACGTCTTAGTCAAGGGAACAACCGCAGAGGAAAATTAGAAACTCGAGTTTAAAGAAAATCAACTCACACAGATCCAGTACTCAATTACAACAGCAGCGAACCAATAAATAACACACAAAAGGAATTGTATACAAACACTAGTTAAGGAGTCCAAGATTCATTGCAGCACTCCTACCTTAAGGAAAATTGAAGAAAGATATCCCATGGACGTCTTCCAAAAGAATGGATATCCACGGGACTTCATCAAAAGACATCTACCCCCAAGCCAACCTACCAAATCAAAGGCCCTCAAGGAAAGCACAATGAAAATCACCCTACCATATTTAAAGGATATCTCAGGAATCACTGAAAGACTCTTCAAACCTTCAGAAAGTGACGTAGCACACAAACCAACGAAATCATTTCACTCGGCTGGCTTTGTGTCAACCAAAAGATTCAACACAGAAAGAAGCTAAAACTAATATCACCTATAAAATAAATTGTAACAACTGCGAAAAACACTATACTGGGCAAAATGGACGCCAATCCTCTTCGTCTTCGTATCCATGATCATAAACTAGCCGTCAAAAGATATGATATCCACTCCCTCATATCGCTCACTGCATACAGACAACCACGGACATCAATTCGACTGGGACAAGCAGCGTTCAAATATTAGACAACTGGGGAAACACCAAGAATGAAAGCTTCGCAAATAAACCATCCAGTTGCTTAGAGAACACAACTACATCAAAATCATCCACCTGAGCTACAAATCTTCCCCATCATATCTAGTGTGTACAGTTTATGTACTTTGGTCCATTTCTCAATTTACATGTTGAACGAAGTACACTCACACGTAATTTTTTGCATTAAAAATCTCTCAGTTGATTTTTTTTTGCAACACGAAAAGTAATGTGGGATATAATTTCCCTATCGATTTCTCAATCGTCTCACACGTCGTATTGACAACACAGAGTTTGAGCATAGCTATAGTTAAAACATACATGATGATTGGTTTCGAAACTGTCTGTGCTTCAGAGACACAAAACTTATCGCAGCGCAGTTATGAAGAATAGAGTTCGCAATGACCCTAGAGTGACCAATAAAAAATCAGGCAGGTAACGACGAGTACTGCTCAGGATCTAAGAAGTAAATTTAATTCAGAAAAAGCGGCCTAGTACTAAATCCTAACCCGTACCCAATCCCTATAGGGTTATAACTCTATACCCAACTAGTAACTCCGACATGATAGGTAGTCATTCGGATGAATACCGATATTCTTGTCCCTCAGGAACTAGGCGTTATTACTGGAACATTTTGTAGGTGGTACCCATTTTAATGCTCTTATATTTCTCTGGATGTATATTTTCAAGGATATACTGTCTTCTTCGCCTAAATTAGCCTGGTCTCTTCAATGTCATTGAGTCAGTCGTTTGCTTTCATCACTGTTCTTTAACTTAATCAGATAACCTTGCCATTACAAGGCGAGCTCGTACCACCATTCAGCCATTGGGGCCCGATACAATGGCCAGCCCATGAATTCCAACCCCAATCAATTCGTGTTATGCATTTGGCGCAATCTCCAGCCGGTGTCACAGGCGAGTAACTGTCCACTTGCCCGACTTGGTGAAGCCACTGGTGTTACAACTTCTCACCGGAACCCCAAGTAACTTCTTATATAGGGCCAGACTGATTATCAAGTGTTGGTTTGCAGGGATTTGATTGGTCACAGGATTGATTACGAACTGAAATCAGTTAGAGAACCATTGGAAAATCATTACTGAAGTACTGGACAGCTGTTTCATCCTAGACTGGGACTCTTCATCAGTACGTGCCCACTGGGACTCAAACTCATAACTTTCCGGCTACGAGGCGAGCCAGTAGACCATTCAGACTTCTAGTAAAAGTAAAACAGACGGGTCACACGACTTTGAAACTTGACTTTTATAGTTTTCTTTGTTCTCTCCTATTTGTCGTCGTAGGGGTAGCGGAATTTTCCAGATATCTGGGTGGACAGGTGATAAATCATTCCTATTACATGTATTTGCAGTTGATTCGATAAACAAAGCTTCTGTTATCAATCTCTCTCGCTCCACCCTGTGACATTAGATTTTAAAACTGTCATCCTATCCCATCCTATTGTATGGTTGTGTGTAACTGCATGTAGTGCTATAGCTTAACTATTCTCTAGATTTCTTATCTTATTTGGATCAACCAATCTAGATTTTGCTAGGTTTTTACGCTCGGCTAGTCTGACTGACTGCCTCTGTTCTACTACTTTCACCTATGTATTTGACCTGACAATCATTGCAAGCAGGGTATTAGATAAACTAAATTGTTTTGTTTTAAAGGCTCTATAGGATCCTTTAGCCGACAAAGCTTGTTTCTAATTGAGTTTGTGGGTTTGAATGCCAGCCACTTTTATTCCTGCCTTGTTAAGAATTCTGCGTAAGGTGGTTTCCGAGGTTCCTTCCTTGTATGGAATTACTACTGATGATTTAGATTCCTTAATGTTGGTGTTGTCATTAATATTATTATCATCACTATTATCATTATTATTGTTATTATCACTATCGCTACTATCATTATTTATTTTATTTTTACATTTTCTTACATATTTCCTGACTAATTTATCCGGGTAATTATTAAGTTTCAAGGCTTCTTTTATGTGTATCAGTTCCTGTTCTAGATTTTCCTTGGTACTACTTATTTTTTGTGCTCTGTCATGTAAACATTTCACCAATCCTATTTTTACTGACATAGGATGGGATGATCGGAAGTCCAAATATCTGTTTGAGTGTGTGGTTTAATATAATACCCAAAACTAATAACCCCAGTAGGATGTATGGTGTTGTTAAAGTTCATAAGTCAGGATACCCTATTAGGCCTATAGTTGATTTTAGAAATTCACCTACTTATGAATTATCTAAATATTTAGCCATGGTATTAAATCCCTTAAAAATCCACTCGAAATCTAAACTAACTAATTCTTATGAACTAAAACACAGATTAGATAATTTAAAATTAGATAATAAAGAAAAAATGGTTAGTTTTGACATTATCAGTTTATACACACGTATACCAATAAATATGGCTATGGAGGCAGTCAGAAACGAATTCATTTCTGACCAAGAACTCGAACTTAGGACAAAATTGCCACTTGAGGACATAATGTTGGGAGTACAGCTATGCCTGACTTCCACAGTATTTAAATTCCAAGGGAAAATATACAAACAAACTGAGGGAGTTGCCATGGGATCACCAATATCCTCAGTGGTAGCAGATATATTCATGGATAAGTGGGAAAGCATAGCGATTGAAACGTTCACCCCCACCCCAAAAGTATGGTGGAGGTCTACCAAGTCAGGCAAGAGGACAGTGTTACTAGCCTGTGACACCAGCTGGTGATTGCGCTAAATGTATATCATGAACTGGTAGAAGTTAGAATGGTCTACTGGCTCGCCTCGTAGCCGGGTTCGAACCTTGGCAGTGGGTGCGTACTCTGAAGAGTCTCAGTCTAGGATGAAACAGCTTCCCGGTACTTTCAACTAGTTTTCAATGCTTCTCTCTAGCTGTTATAAATCTGTAGTCACACTTGAAACCCTGACTTAAGCCGAAACCGCATCAGTACAAACGCAGTAGACGTAAAACAAGTGTTCCTCCATAGTGATGAAAACATAAGCCAAACAGCAGTAATGTGTGAAATAACACTGACAGTATTTAAAAACATTTTGCTAATTCATTCTAACACAAAAATTAGAAGTTAGACACACCACTTATTCTAATGTATTTATTTGCATAGCCTAGCCATATGTTTAACACCGTCATTCATGTAATATGACACCTTAATATGAGTCATATTGAATAGAACACAAAACACACACACACACGTATGTTTTACGCTCTAAGAGGGTGAATGCTTAAACACAAGAGTAAAATAGCAAATCGTACGAGTTAATCATCAATATTATGAGAGCGGTGATATTTGACTGTACGGTAGACTGCTGTACTAATTATCTCTATTAATTGACGATATGGTTTTAGGAAGCTGCATTAAAAAAGCAAACAGCAAAGTTAAACTTTAAGCATTACTCCATTATGGATAAAGTTTTATTTTGATAAATCATACAGTCACCACTCTCAAGTCTGTGTGGAGGTCAACAGCACTCAGCATCAAAATGGAAATAAGATCCGGATTTTCAACTCCAATGTCAAGTCAGTCAGTGCTACTATACGGATCAGAGACTTGGCCAGCGCGTCATAAAGAGCATCTCAAACAAACTACAGACCTTCATTAACAGTTGTCTTCGCTCAATACTCAAGATCAGACGGCCAGAAAAGATCAGCAACAGAGATCTCTGAGAGCGAACCAACCAACCAGGAACCGATTGTGAAACAAATATGCAGGAAGAAATGGAGATGGATTGGCTGGCCATACTCTCAGGAAACCATCAAGTGACATCACTAGACAAGCCATTGCTCGAGTGGAACGCGAAAGGGAAGCGGCGAGTTGGTCGTCAGTGTGAGGGTGACTTGGAGGAGGTCATGTGAAGAGGAGATGAAAACGTGTGGGCAGACATGGAGCCAGGTGAAGACTCTAGCAGAGAACCGAACGCAATGGAGACGCACGGCTGAAGCCCTATGTTCCTCCAGGAATTAAAGGAAATAATAATAATAATAATAATAATAATAATAATAATAATAATAATAATAATAATAATATAGAACCTGATGAAGAGGTTATCGTAAAGAATAATCTTTGTTCACTAATCAGTCATATTGAATATTTATATAAATACCAAAGAAAATAAAGACAATTCCAACTTACAAATGTTCATCATGATAATATAATGATGGTCCATAGGCCAACTTTAAGCTTATTCCAACCGTAAGTAGAATAACAGTTAAACTGCACAATATAATTGTTACAATCAATGTCTGACGTGTAGTTGGCTTCCTTGCTTCAACAATCCCCACTATTGTACTAGATTCTAGTGGATGCTTCTCTATTTTCCGTTTTTTAATCATTTTTGTGGAGCAATTGATACAAAAAGAAATTACCTTTTAATTGTCTAGTGATAGAATTATTCAACTAATTGACGTAGAAATCAGTCCACATGATTGGTTAGATAAGATGACCTACATAACGAATATTTTTTATTGGTTGATTAAGTAAAGGTCACAATAGTATGAAGTAAGCAATAGTTAAAGTCGTGGGCGTGGCATATATACACATTCAAGTAATGTCTCACTCATTCACTGACTTATTGATTTTTGGGAGGAAATGCATAATATGTATGTGTACACTTGGTGTGCATGAATTTATTAAAAGGCGATTAGTTTATTGTTTTGTTGACAAGTATGTCTTTTTTCAGAAAAACGTTGTGAAAAAGGTAAATTGAATTTTTAAAATTTATTCACAACAGTTAAATAAACGTCTCATGATTGTTGTTAATTTATATAATATATATTCTCTGTTTTATCATCTCAATTCATCAGCTTAAATAAATTCACAAAAACCTAGACGATTTCTAGACGTCCTTATGACCAGAAAAGAGGAAGGCACAATAATAATAATAATATTAATAATAATAGTAATAATAATAATTGTTACCTTGGGTTCCTAGTGGAACATAGGACTTCAACTACACGCCTACACTTGCTTCTGTCTTCTGCTGTACTTTTCACCTGCATCAATGTTAGTCCATACTGTTTCATCTCTTCCTCGCACGATCTCCTCCATGTCACCCTTGGTCGTCCCACTCGCCGCTTCCCTTTCGGGTTCCACTCGAGCAGTGGCCTGACGCGAGATGTCACCCAGCAGCCTCCTCAGCGAGTGTCCAATCCATCTCCACTTTCTCCTGCATATTTGTTAAACGATTGGTTCTTGTTTTGTTTGTTCCCATAGTTTCTTGTTGGTTCTTGTTTTTTCCGGCCATCTAATCTTCAGTATAGAGCGAAGACAGTTGTTGATAAAGGTCTGCAACAGGCTGTTGGAAATATTCTGTGTGACCCACCAAGTTTCTGATCCGTATAGACTTGACGTTTGTATTGAAAATCCGAATTTTGTTGTTGATGCAGGCTGAGTGACGAAGATTTCTAGATTGGTTTCAGGTTGATGAATGTGTTTCTCACCTTCCCGATTCTCGATTTGACATCCTCGTCCGTTCCTCCTGAAGTTGAGACAATGCTCCCTAGATAAGTGAATGAAGTAACCTCTTTCAAATCCCTCCCATTGATGGTGATTGGCGCTGGATGTTGCTGTTGTTGTTGTTGGTTGGTTGGTTAATTTCATAACCTCCGTCTTGTCTATTTGTTTACCTGGAATCCTGTCTTTGCTGCTTCTTCGACTAGTTTGTCGGTTTTCGCTTGTAAGTCTTCGATTTTGTGTGAAATCAAACATACATCATCCGTGAAATCCAGGTCTTCTAGGTTCTTCACGTCGGTCCAGGATATCCCTGTCTTCTCGTTTCCCACTGTCTGACGACGCCTAATCCAGTCCACCACAATTAGGAATATCATTGGCACAATAAGAAGAAGTGTATATAGAAAAACTACATGAATTGACTGTCAGTATACTCATTTTTTCAGCTTCGTGCCTTTGAAATACAAACGTAATGTAATAAAGTGTTTGATCCGACACAGAGCGAGAGCAATCTGCTCTGATGAATGAATGCCTTAATGAGGAGCTAAATACAATTAGACACTTACTGAGTGGGAATGGTTATCCAGAAAAATTCATTGATAAGAATATGAATCAAAATTCAAGGCAGGCCAAAGTTCCAACAGTTCCGAAAAAAAGGCTTTATTCTTACAAATTCAGTTCCTCGGAGTTGACATCAGTGGGATGTTAACACAACGCCTAAGTAAAAAGAACATTCACTGCTGCTGAAGTATGCTGTGTCTTCAAAACCAGCCCTATTTCGCTTTCGGGAGTAAAAGATAAATTGCCTAATTTCGCCTCTTCTATGTGTACCTACCAATTTAACTGGTTCCGTGGAGCCATCTACATAAGCCATACAATTTAGCGTGTTTCTCGTCAAATTTCCAAACATCACCCTGCGTAGTTAAGTCAAGGGAAAACAAAATCCATTCATAGAGCTAGTCTATCTCACCTTGTGGACACAGAACACAAGATTGATGTCAGCAAGACTTTCAAAGTCATCTCTACCGCATACCAACAAATCCTAACTTCACCTTAAGAGTTCGTTCAATAAATATGGCTGAGGTCGTTGAGATCCACATTAAGAAGACTAATTTGTGCCTCCAAAAGAGGTTAGTTCAGACATTGTTCTTATGTTGGCCATCTAGGTTCGAATGATCCTCAACTTCCTGAGGAAATTCCCTTAATTTTATTTGATATTCTATTTACTATTCTATTTTTATTATTATTATAATCTAAGCATCTTTAATGAACTGTAACTCCATTGATCTTACTTAACCAATCGATAATATTTAAAAAACACCAATATTGTTATTGACTACCATTCTAGAATATTCTCTGTATATATATATATATATATATATATATATATAAATGTAGAGCCAGAAAAGGAAATTATCGTAAAAGGATATTCTTTGTTAAATTATTCTGTTTTTTATAGGTGTCTGAATGAATATTTTCGCTAGATGATAATGCCTAAAACAAAACTTAATTTAAGTGTGAACTTGAAAACATCTATAGAACATTGATTTTAGAGAGCCAATCAGATTTTGTGAACACTACGAAAGGTCGTTCTAAATTAAATCCTGTCTACCTTAATGTATTTGTTGACGGTGTCTACAGCATTCTACTTATTCCCTAGACTCTTTTTTCCTGTAAATCTAGGCTATCGAGTAGGTTTGGTACTTTTAGGGTTAAGGTTAGAGTTTCGGTAGGGTTAAAGCACAATATCAGGGATATCAATGGATCAAAAGTACCATAATTGGCGAAGTTGAACAAAAGCCTCCAAGAAGTGCGAACATTCAAGTGACCTTGAACGCATGCTAGTTGTTGGCTAACAGCAACTGTTATTACCATGGCTGAAAAATCAACGCTATTCACCAAGTTGGTTCCCGCTGGGTTGGTTCGTTCATTGCCAGAGATCCCTGCTGCTGATTTTTTCTGGCCGGCCATCTGATCTTGAGTGGTATTAAGCGAAGGCAGCTGTTGATGAAAGTCTTTAGTTTGTTCAAAGTGCCTTTCACGAAGCTCCAATTCCCTGATGCGTATAGTAGCACTGACTTTACATTCCAGTTGAAAATCCGGATCTTATTTTTCAAGCTGAGTGTGCTGTTGATCTCCACACAAACTTAAGAGTAATGACAGCTTTCCTTGTCTTCTCGATCCTCGCTTTGATATCCTCGTCAATTCCGTCTGTAGTTGAAACGATGCTTCCCAAGTAGGTAAAGGAGGTTGTTTCTTTCAGGTCCCTCCCATTTATGCTGTAATAGTGTTTGATCCGACACAGAGCGAGAGCAATCTGCTCTGATGAATCAATGTCTTAATGAGGAGCTTAATACAATTAAACACTTACTGAGTGAGAATGGTTATCCAGGAAAATTCGTTGATAAGAATATGAATCAAAATTCAAGACAGGCCAAAGTTCCAACAGTTCCGACAAAAAGGCTTTATTCTTACAAATTCAGTTCTTCGGGGTTAACATTAGTGGGATTTTAACACAACGCCTAAGGCATACGACAGTAAAAAGAACATTCAGTGCTGCTGAAATATTCTGTGTCTTCAAAACCAGCCCTATTTTGCTTTCGGGAGTAAAAGATAAATTGCCTAATTTCGCCTCTTCTATATGTATCTACCAATTTAACTGCTCCTGTGAAGCCAGTTACATAAGCCGTACAATTTAGCGTGTTTCTCGTCAGATTTCCGAACATCACCCTGCGTAGTTAAGTCAAGGGGAAACAAAATCCATTCATAGAGCTATTCACCTTGTGGACATGGAACACAAGATTGATGTCAGCAAGACTTTCAAAGTCATCTCTACCGTATATCAACAAATCTTAACTCCATCTTTGGAGTTCATTTACTAAATATTGCTGAGGTCGTTGGGATCCACATTAAGAAGCCTAATTTATGTCTCCAAAAGAAGCTGGTTCAGACACTGTCCTTACTCTGCCCATCAAGGTTATAATAATCCTTAATTGGTTGTGGAAATTTCCTTAATTTTATTTGATATTCTATTTGCTATTATACTTGTATGCTTATTATGATTTATGCATCTTTCATGAACTGTGGTAATTCCATTGATCTTACTTAACAAATCGATATTATTTAAAAAGCACACCAGTATTGTTATTGACTACTATTCTAGAATATTCAGTGTATATAAACATATGTATAATTGTAGAGCCAGAAGAGGAGGAAATTATCGAAAAGGATATTCTTTGTTCAATTATTTTGTGTTTTATAGGTGTCTGAATGAATATTTCCGCTAGATGATAATGTTCAGAACTTAATTTAAGTGTGAACTTGAAAAGGTCTATAGAACATTGATGTTAGAGGGCTAATCAGATTTTGTGAACACTTCGAAAGGTCGTTCTAAATTAAATCCTGCCTGCCTTAATGCATTTGTTGACAGTATCTTCGGCATTCTACTTATTCCCTGGACTCTTTTTCCCTGTAAATCAACGCTATCAAGTAGATTTGGCACTTTTAGGGTTAAGGTTAGAGTTTCGGTAGGGTTAAAGCACAGTATCAGGGATATCAGTGGATCAAAAGTACCATAATCGGCATAGTTGAACAAAAGCGTCCAAGAAGTGCAAACACTCGAGTGACCTTGAACGCATGCTAGTTGTTGGCTAACAGCAACTGTCATTACCATGGCTGAAATATCAACGCTATTCACCAAGTTGGTTCCCACTGGGTTGGTTCGTTCATTGCCAGAGATCCCTGTTGCTGATTTTTTTCTGGCCGGTCATCTGATCTTGAGTGGTATTAAACGAAGACAGCTGTTGATGAAAGTCTGTAGTTTGTTCAAAGTGCCTTTCACGAAGCGCCAAATCTCTGATGCATATATTTATTTATTTTTTATTTTTGGTTACAGCTTGATGCCACACCGTATTTTCAGTACAAGTATGACATTTT